GTAGATGGGCCTGATCTCTTATGCCTTTCCCTCCCACTAGTTCCCCTGTACCCCTGGGGGCCCACCCACACAGGCCATGCCACTGGGACATAGTGAGGCAGGATACCAAATCCACTGAGCTACTTTGCACACTTCCCCATGTGCATCACATCTCATCCTCATGGCCACAGGCTTTATAATTCACAAGGAGGGCACCAGGGGGAGAGAGGCTGAACCCAAGGTTTCATTTGAGACCACTTGCCCAGGGGAGCCCAAGGTTTCACAGTGCCAGGACCAGCCTAACCATGATCTTCTACAAGCTTAGGGATTCAGTGAGACATCCCTACCTGAAGGGGTGGTCTCCAGGAATGACTCGGGCAGTTCAGGGGTACGTGATACAGAGTAGAGTTTAGATCAGGATCATGGAGTGGCACAGAACTAACTGGAGGGAAAACCAGGACCTGGGGTAGAACCAACCACCCTGGAAAAGCCACTCTCAGGGGCTGGGAGAGCCTATTAACTCTGAGGGATTTGGGTTCCTGAGGCTTCTGCTCATACCCCAAGCTGCGAGCTGCAAGTCTGCCCCAGGGTCCTGCCCCTAGACTCACCCTTGGACCCCAGATGGACTTTTGTGGGCTCTGGCCCCAGGCTGGGCAGTCCTGCAGTGAGAGCTTCGGGGGCTGTAGCATGACTGGGCAGGTGCAGGCAGTTTCAGGGAACTGGTGTTCAGATCCCCTAAGCTCCTGCTCTCTGCAAAGCACAGTGCTAACCCTCCAACATTCTGCCCCTCAGAACAAGCCTCACGTAGTAACAGGCTCTTGAGGGAGACCAGGTATAGCCAGATGCACAGTGGTGAAGCAGACATAGAGGCACATGGATATGACATGTGGACACACCATGTGCATCTGGAGTGTGAGGGAGGCAACATCACTCTGGAATCTGTTGGGAGAAGCTTCAGGACAAAGTTCTGAGCAAAGAAAGAGGCTGAACAAGTGACTCATCTCAACTCCTTTGGGAGGGAAGGTGTGTCAACCAAGAAGCAATTTGTCTCCAACTTTTAGGGTGCTTTTTTTAACATCTGCAGTTTAGAAAGTAATGGACCATGGTTTCAGGCCTGTGTGATAAGGAAGGAGGAGGATGTTACCCTACTTGGCACTAACCATCATTCTGATCTGTGTTATTTATTTAAAATTTGGAGTGGTTCAGTTCCTGGTTGGGTGTCAGATGGCTAAAGCTTTTTAAGATTGATCTGAGGCCACAATCAGAATAATAGGAGATAAGGAACCCTGAGTGAATGCTTTTACAAATGTGTCTGCAATTTTCTAAGATGCTGCCGCTGGAAAAATCTTATCATGCTCTCCCTAAGAAGCATTTCAGAAGCTGGTTCTTCAGACAGTCTCCTCCTGGACAAGATGAAATGTAAGGATTTCCCAGAGAAATAACCTTTGATCAGGTTGGAGAGAGAACTAAAGTAGAGAGGGAAGATCTCAACAACTGTGAGCTCCAAAACTTAGACAAGTGGGAGAGGTGCCACATCCCCGACTCTGCAGGAGGTCCCCAATGTGCAAACTGAATGTGCCCCTCACATTCTGGGGCTCCTGAGTCTTCATCAGACCTTATTTTGTGGCCTGAGCTGTGGTATTATTGGAAGAGGGGGATTTTCCTAGAAACAATGCAAATAAGCTGAGTGGCCAAAATAGGGTTTAAAATCATAGCTATGACAAGTGCTCATATTTATTCAGTCTTCAATGCTCTCAGAGCACTAGCTGAGACAGCCTAGGTGAATATGGTCAGAGGTTTATTTGCTCAGTTTTACAGGTAAGAAAACCAGGTCTCAGCCCATGAAAGGGGCTGTCTGAATCCCACCTAAGTGTCAAAGTCACAATAATTACAAACCCCTATAGTTATTTTTAAATGTTTATGTATGTGTATATGTACAGGTGTACATATGTGTATACAAGTGTGTGTGTATACAGCAGTTCCCATAAAATGATTATAAGCAGACCCCACTCCTTGGCTATGTGATAATTCATAAGTCACAACAACAGGCACTGAACCCAGGCCTCTAAAGACATTAGCTGATGAAATCCTCAGAGCAGACACTGTGGTAAGGCCCACTGGTCTCCTCCAAAGGAGGAGTGTCTCACTTTGGGTGCCTCAGGGGGACGTTGGACTCTCTAGTCTAGGGGTGTAGGGGTAAGTACCCCTTTTCCTGTAACCTGTTCTCATTGAAAGCAGAACAACTCAGGCAAGACCTAGCTCTCCAAGGGCAGTAGGCAAATATTGAGTGATTCAGTCTTCTTAACAACCTCATGATGCAAATCCTCATTTTATATTTGAAGAAACTAAGGTATGCTACCTGTGCTCCTGGGGTTCTCGGCCTCTGCTGTGTCTGTGTGGTAGAAACACTGGGCTGTTGTCATGAAAGTGAGCCTTGCAGGTGTTTATATCACAGATGTTGGCAAACACGACAAATCAGGGATCCTTATTGTCTCCAGAGAGCTGTTCCTAAACATTTAGCAAGATACCCCTGGGCCCAGTTCTCTGTGATTTAATAAGCCCTGGGGTGATTCCAATGGCATTCAAGGTTGAGACCTTCCCTGAAAGCTTGACCTGGATCCTTCATACTGACTCCTTATGTGTCTTCGTCACAGTGTTAACAAATGTCAAAGCTGTACCATTGGGAGGTGGGAGAGCTCTGGGCAGCCAAAGATCAGTTCTGAGGCCCCTTGCAATGATGGGGGCCACACTGGGGCTCACTTGAGTGAGAGGTGAGATGTGGGTCCCCCAGACACAGCCTGCACCCCGGGATGACTCCCCACCCACCAAGTCAGCTGACAGCTGCTATCATAGATGTGGGGAGGCAAAGTGCTGCATCACACGTACCATACCTGGCTTCAAGTCCCACTCCCCCTGCTAGCAGTGGGACAAGGGGGCTGACTGCCTTATAGCTCTACCTCCATCTGCTCATCCACGAGGATGGGAATAGTGCTGCCTACCCCCAGGGGGGATTCTGGAAAGATTAGATCCAATAATTTAGACAAAGAGCCAAGAATACTGTACAACTCCATAAGCAGTAGCCATTACTGCCTCTCCATTTAGCTAGAGTAGAAAGTAATGTCATTGGCAATATTGTTACTCCCATTTTATAGGTGACAGATATTGAGGCACAGAGAATAAAAAAGCAAAGTGCCCAGAATTACAGAGACAGTTACTGAAACAACAAATACCAGAGACCCACCACATTAGTCAGTGATGGATGTCACCCACACCCTCCACTGAGTGCACTTCCTCAGCCTGGGGCTGCGGTCCTAATTTATTCCCAGTAGCTCCAGGGTCCCTAGCAAGAAAGTAACTGTTAATTCAGTTACAACGATTAACGGCTGGTTCTCTGGTTTATTGCTGTAATTCCTCTAAAGCAAGCATCTGCGGGTGGAGACCTTGTTCCGCCTTTACGGAGCTTAAATGAGAAGAGGCATTTCCATGTGCTCTTGCAGAGCAAGACTCTAGCAGCTACCCTGTGAAAGCCAGGAATTACCTGGAAAAGATGGGGGTGAGTGAGGAGCACTCTGAGCACCCATAGGTGTTAGGGGCAGGAAGTGACCTGGATAAAGCAGATGAACATACTCCTCACCTGGGCACGTGCAGACATGGGGGCTCTGTGTGGCCACCCCTCTGACACAGTCATACCTGGGTTTATTCAGTAAACCAGCAGCTTTCACTGTATGCCACGGACTGCTGTAAGGACATCCCAAGTATTCATTTATCTAACACAACAGCCCCACAAAGCACTATCATTCTTCCCACTTCACAGATCAGGATATTTGGTTGCACAAAGAAATTAAGTAACTTGCCTTGAGATCACAGCCAGTAAGTAGGTGCTCCAGGATTTGAGCCCAGGCAGTCGGGCTGTAGGGATGGAGTTTGAAATGGGTTTCCCAGGCAAGAGCCAAAAATGGGTAGTCAAAGCCACACTCAGTCTGAGTTAAGGAAAAGAAGAAAGTAAGGAAAAGAAGAAGGGCCTCTGCTGAGGTCAGTCGCTAACAGAGTTGGTCACAGCAGGGAGGTCCTGCCTGGAGCAGGGAGGTCCTGCCTGGAGGAAGGGTGGTTATGACAGCCTTTTACCTAGAGCAGAAGATAAGGATCTGGTGTCTCAACATCCCTGGCAAGTGGGCGTTGCTGTCCCATTGTACAGCTGTGGAAACTGGAGTTCAGAGAAGTTAAATGGTTTGCACGAGGTCACACAGCCTGAATGTCCTTGGCAGAGCAGGCTCTCAAACCCAGCCTACCCGCCCCTATACCCATGCTCTTTGCCTGCATCTTTCAGGCAGGCTGCCAGATTTCAGCTCCCTAAGCAGGGTGGGGATAGGGTGGTCCCCTGTAATGTACACACAGACATAGCAGGTACCGGACACTTTCCGTGCTGGCTATATCCTGAGTGGCCACTAACCGCCATTGAACAGGCAAAGAATGAAATCTCGCCCACCCAGCAGGGGAAAGAGCGGGACTCACACAGATCTGTTCATCCTTTTCCTCATGTCACCTGAGGGACAAGGTAGATGGGCGAAGCCAGCCCCAGTATGCCAGTCTCCTCTCCCCGACCCTCTGCAGTCTCAGACTCCCACCCCAGCAAAGTTACAGATGGGTGCACTGGCACAAGGGGGCCCAGATGGTGGGAGCCTTCCTCTCTGCTCCTGATTTGCGTTCCCATGTCTTAGTCAGGAGAGTAACAATTCCAGGCAGTCCTGGTGCTGCAGTCTTGGGGGGCAGAGCCCCTCCACCCATGTGTGCAGATGGTAGGGCTGCCCTACCCCACCAGGGGCCCCATGCAGGGCCTCATCAGTTCTGGCCCCTGCTGCAGAGTGGAGGCCTGCACTCTCCCACCCTCCAACCTGCCCAGCCACGGCCTAGAGGACTGGGCCCCTGATCCAAGACCCCGCTCTCTGCTCTCCTAGAGCTGGCCCGATTGGTCTTTCCCAGTCATCTCATGGTCCCTTTGTTTGTGTTTCTCTCCATTTTAGGGATTTATTTCTCTACAAGGGACCCAGGTGACTGAACTTCTTCCTGGCCCCGAGGACCTGGGGAAGCACCTGTTTGAGATCAGTCCAGGTAGGCCTATGCACCTTTTAGCTCTTTGCTGGGGCTCACCCTCGTGGCTCGCGTGACAGAGTCACCTCTAGCCCGGGAAGAGCACATGCCCTTCACAGTGCTCCTCCCTGCAGGCATGCCAACACTGGCTCCAAAAAAAAAAACTTGGAAATTTGCGCCAAGTCTGGTGGGTAATACAAATTTGGGAGGAAGTTAGAAAGTGCAATCAAATATCCTGGTAATTAGCTTTTGGGTGAATAAAAATGTGGATTTTGAAAATCACAGTAAGTGCACAGGAAGAAACCAATCAGTGGGGACATCTTAGGGTGAAGGTCCAAACAGAACATCTAGGTCGTGTGCAAATAAGTCCAGAGGAAAACACTAGCACAGATTCAGCACGTTAAAATAAGCCTTACCATGATTCCCAAAACAGAGGACTTGGGTGTAGTAGGAGGAAGGGAAATTATTTAACCCAAAGACCTGCCCTCACATTAGCAGTCAGAAAACAATTTTTTAATGTTCCCAGTTTTAAAATGCTATACCTCTAAAATACAAATAACAATATAGACCGAAGTTACCTCAATTAAGAAAGAAATAAAATTTGATTGCTATGGAACTAAGTAAGTGCGTCTTGCAGATGAGCAGTTCTGTTTGTAGAAGGGTGGGGTTCTGTAGTCTGGGGCTATTTTATTTAGCTTGAACTCCCCCAGAAGCAAAGCCTGAGACAAATCTCTCCCAGTTTATTGGGAGGAGATTCCCAAAAAGCCTGGAGAAGGGAGCAAAGTCAACCGAGGCTTGCAAGGGAGCCGGCTGCTGCAGTGCATTCAGTTCCAAAGGGGGCTTCTGGAGACAATGGGAACAGAGGCATCTTGCCCTAGAAGTAAGGAGGTAGGACTTGTACCCCCCAGCTCCCAACTGCCATTAATGGAGAGCTGCTCCCTGGGGAGCTAACTCTGGAATTTCTGGCCCACCCAATGCATGAAACAGTTCCAAGCAGGTGAGACCATCAGGGAGAGTTGCAGGTACACACAAAGCCACCATCAGTATAGCTGGGGACAGAAAAAATTCCCAGAAGGTCTGGACAGGTCCCCAAAAGTCTCCATTGAGCCCATACAGCAAGTCATCAGGTCCAAGCAGTGTGTGTTCTGAATTGAGACTTCCTTCTGGGAAGTGGTGGCAGTGAGCTGAGTATCCAAGTGCCGCCCTGGGACTGAGTCAGGAAGTTTACAATCTCAGAGGAGTAGCACCCCCTTCTCAGAACCATTCCCTTCACCATTGGAATTCCAGGGGGCAAAGGCCAAAGGTGGAGTCCCCAGGGACCCTCCCAATTGCATACGCCATATGTAAAAGTCAAGCACTCATGGTTTCACTGGGGTATTTCCTACCTGTATATTTAATTTACTGCAAAAATTTTAGTATTGAAACTGCACATTAGAAGGTAACAAGAGAAATCTCAAAGTAAGGAGTGGAAAAAAGAGGTTTGGTTAACTATGGAACAAGAGAAAAGGTTTCCACGAAGGTGATAGAGAAAAAAATGAAGGACAGTGAGGTAGACAGACCCCTGCCATCTGAAGCAAGGGGAAGCTGGGCACTGAACAGATGGGCTGTGGGAGGGGCCAGGGTTCCTGGGCCTGGAAGTTGGGGAACAGTGAAAGGAGACCAGAAGTGAAAGGTTGAGGTATGTAGCCCAGCCATAAATTCTGATAGGCACTGAGCCTCTGCTTCAAGGACTCGCTGGAAAAAGTCACCAGTGTCCATGCTCTTTATCTGGGTCAGAGCTGGTTATGAGGGTTTCTTTGATTCTGAGGGTACGGAAGGCTCTGTAGCCTTGTAAGGTGCATTTTCGCAGGTTCTGGGGATTGGGATGTGGCCAGCCTTGAAGGGTCATTTTGCTGCCTATCACAACACTCAAAGCATCCCTCTATATTTTAGTATATGTGCTGCCGAAGCGAGCACTCAAAGCATCCCTCTAAAGCTGGGGGGACTTTTATGCCTGTTTTATAAATAAGGACACGGGTGTGTTAGAAAGGACAGGTGACTTGCCAAGTACACATAGCAACATAGCAGTAGGGTCAAGATTTAAACCCAAGGCAGTCTGACTTGCAAAATCACACACTTAAGCTGCCCTCCACATGAACACCATATATGCTTCTAGCATCTTCCCCACCTGGGTCCAGGGGTACCGCGCTGGATTCATACAGGTCCCAGGAGCAGCCCATCTGCCCAGTTGCCTTTGCGTCCACAGGCATTCCTGAAGGCCAGGGGTCAGAAGGGGAGCAGTGAGGCTGCTCAGAGTGGTGGGCATTGGGGGATCTAGTCAGCCTTTGGGGTACAATCCCCTTCACTGGAAGCATCGTTCTGGACCTGTCTGCCTCACCCAATACCCTAGAGGGGGACACTTGACAACTCTTGGAAATGTGATGGAAACCCAAGAATGGTGACACGTAAGATCAACTGCATAAATGTTAAGTTATAGTTCTAGTTGTGTTCTTTAACAACATTTAAAAAAATCTCAATTTTCTCAAGATAGAATCTAAAATATGCAGAAAAATTATGCTGAGAGTGCCATCTAGTGGACAGACCTGCCAATTTTGAGACAGTCCCTGCATGCTCTTGGGTCCACCCCCTACCCCACCATCACCCTGCCCATTCCAGCCAAGCCACACTTCTGAACTGGCCTCCAGTCACTATGTGACTGGACCCACCCACCCACCAAGGTTTCACATGATGGGAGCAAGGAACCCCAAAAGAACTCGGGTGCCTTCAGGAAAGGTGAGAAAGTAACAAGTGGCAGTTTGCTTCACGCGTGCACTCCAGGCAATCCTTGAGTGTCACATAGCTGGCCTTGGCCCTCCCTGTAGGGCCACACTGGGGCCCCAGGGTGGAGTACTTTTCTGGGTTCATTTCCTGAGAGTGTTATGCCCAGTGTGCAGTTCTGAGGAGAAAACCTAGGGAGACACAAAAGCCTTCTCTGAATGGCAGGGAAGAGAAGGGCAGGAAGACGTCATCTTCCCAAGGAGGACAGGGAGGACTCTGAGTGCTCTGGAGTCTGGGTCCAGGTCCCTGTACACAACGCCTGGCTGCTTGGGCCCCGCAGACCTTATTTCTCAAGAAAAAGCACAGCAGATTCTGGTGGAAGCCAAGCAGTTCAGAAGCCTGGCAGGCGCTCTGTTCTCCCACAGAGTTCCTGGCTGCCTCCCTCCCGCTTCCCAGACATCCTTCAGCATCCTGTGGGCAGCAGGTCTGGGTGGGGGTGGCTCTGAGTCTTGAGTTTTCAGCTCCAACAAGTGTTGGGGACTGAGGTACCAGTAAAATGAGCAATGGCCCCTGAGGAAGTTGTGGAGATGGGGTGACTGGACTCAAGCACTCCAAGGAGGCAGATGCTCCGCAGGGCAGGCTGGAGTCTGCCACTGAAAGGACGTTTCAGGGAAGAGCCTGAGGCCAAGCCCAGGCATCATCTCCCTGTTGGCACCTTCTATGTGCGCTCCCCCGCAGGGCATGCACATCCTCAGCCTGTCACTGTCGTCAGCACCTGAGTGCCCATCTCCTGAGAGGGAGAACTGAATAGACGGCCAGCCTGCCGCCCAGGACCTGTGTGGTTTTGGACAAGTCACTGCATGGCCCCACGCCTCTTCTCACCACTTGTAAAGGGGGATAATAATGGAGCCAAGTGCCTTGGGGTTGGTGAGGATGCCATGAAAGCCCAGGGGCTGGCTCATCGTAGGTGCCTGATATTTCCTCATCTTCCCTGCAAGTGCTCTAACGGCTTATCAGCACTATAGTAACAACACACAGCTCCTGCCTAGCTATAACCTGTCAGTAAACAACCCCAGCGCCTATGCTAGTGCTTTGACGGAGGTGTCCCGGGCCCTCTGCCCAGAGTCAGGAGTGGGAGGCGGCTCACCTGGGTGGTCAGAGAAGGTTTCTCTCAAACTAAACATTGATAGAAAGCAAAAACTATCCAGATGGGCAAACAGGAGGACATTCTCAGATTGGTCCAGAAGTGGTGATGGAGTTCACAGAGGCACAGAGGGGACTTGGGAGCAGAGGGCCAAGGTAGAGGCATGGGCAGGGGCCCTGGCTGGCCTTAGGTGCTGGATCAAGAATCTTGGGTTTTACCAAATGCCCAAAAATAGATGACTGGATCAAGAAGATGTGGTACATATACACCATGGAATATTCCTCAGCATTCAAAAAAGATAAACACATGCAATGTGCAGCAACATGGATGGCGCTGGAAGGGATCATGCTCAGCGAAATAAGCCAGAAAGAAAAAGAAAAATACCGGATGGTCTCACTCATAGCAGGAATTTAGAAAACTTAAATAAGAGACCAGGAAAAAGAGTAACTATAAGAAAGAAAATATCAAAATCAACAAACGATGAACCAGAGACACACTATGGGGGGTGGGGGGCGGGGAAAGGAGGGCTTGGGGTCAAAATAAGGGGGTTGTAATTGTATGGGGAATATAAAAATAAAATTTAAATAAATTTAAAAAGCAAAAAAAAAAAAATTCTTGGGTTTTAGCCATTGCAGGTCTTCAGCTGGAGGGAGGGATGTTTAAAATTAAAACCATGTGCTGGAAAGACCGCTGAGGTAGGATGGAAGGACTGTGTGACCCAACAGGAGGTGAGGTGAGGCGAGGGAATGGCCCCTCTTCTGTGCCACCATCTATGCTTTGCCCCTGCAAGTATCCACAGAGAAGATTTCTCTGCCATGAGAGGAACAAGATGGGGGCGTGAGGGGGGCTGCCAAAACACTTGCAGGGCCCTATGGGGGCAACTCGGAAACTGGCCATTTTGAGTCAAGTTCTGGTCCTTTCTGTGTAATTATAAGGAGACCCTGATCATGCACACCTCTTCCTTTGGTGCCTGTTGAGTTGGGTTCCTGACCCAACTTCATCCCTAAATTACCAGGGGGCAACCAGATTTCTGCCCATCTTTAGGTCTCAGTTTCCCTGGCTGTAAGAATTCAGACTTTTGTGACCTTCAAGGTGTCCACCTGCCCTAACTGAGTGACAC